ACCGGTGTAGGATCTATGGTCGGCACCTCTGTCACGTCCCCAGGAGTCTCATCGGTATGCGCGTCGCCCGGTGCATGATCTGTAAAACCCAAAAATATAAAATGTGAATTGACAAAATAAACGCTTTTAGTGGATCGTATTATAGTTTGCTGGTTGTTGTTTTTATCTAACTATTGCTTCAACTTAGTTGTATTTATTTACTGTCAGTGTTTATATATCTAAATTGATGTAATATATTTAAATTGATTTTGCACTTTCTTAATACTTACCTTGCACGACATGTCTTGCCCCTCTTAGTTGTGTCCTCAGGTAGCTTGTTTTCCAGTTTCCCGTCAGGTTATCGTACTGGCACACACCTCTGACTGACCCAACGCATACTTCACAGAAACAACTTCTTTCTCTAGAAGTGACAACGTATTCCTGAATCCCGCGAAAACTGTGCAGCGACCGTGAATCCTTTAACGTCTTGATCCGTTCTGTTCTACTTGGTCGCGGTCTGTTTACATCTCCACTTTTGACATAGAAAAATAATCTCTTTCTGTGGCAATGGCTGTCTTCATTATCTTTTGGGATTGTCAGGTTCTTGCTAGCGTAGTTGTGGAAATCTGTAGAGTTTGAAATGACATTTCTACGAGACGATGCACTACGCTTGATCACGCCGGTTTCCCCATCACGTGGTACTTTTCCGTGTCGAGAACCAAAGAAGTGTTTCTCGACCTCAAGACCATAATCCTCCTGACCCATCGACATGTCAACAAAGTTGTATTTGCAGCATTTATACTGGGTTGGGGCGCCATCAGAAAAGTGGATTTCCTTTGTTATCTCTAATCCCGTTTGAAATAGAAATTCGTTTGCCTTGGTGACCATGTGGTGCACCATGTGATAGTCATGTTTGTGGTCCTCCGATACAAATACCAAAGAATGGTGCATGACCTCATCGCAATCCTCCTCTTGACATCTGTGATAGGCAGCGATTGGATGCAATGTGACCTGTTCATAGGTCCAATGCGCACTTTGTGCTTCGTCTTGGTGCCTGCAAACGTAGTTTTCAGCGAAATCCAAGCAAATGACGACCCATTTGTCAGGGACATTTGTTTTCAATTGCTCGAACTCTTTCCCCTGCCAGAAAGCATTAAAGAGATGCTTAGCAAATGGTGCTAGCTGTTTCTGGAGTTCATCGACGAATTCAATTATACTGCCACTTTTACATTTCATAGCCATGTATTTTTTGGAAACTCTGTTGGTATAGGAAATCTTCTTGTTTGGATGTTCCTCAATGTACTTGTTGTATGTGCTTTTCATATAGCAGTCGAGGGCCTTTCTCACTGTCAAGTCTTTCTTAACAGCTTTCTTGTTTGGTAATTCTCTAGATATAGAGATTTTCCCGTAGAACACGGATACTGTATCTACAACCTCCTCTTGAAGGGCATCGCTCCTTTTAGCTCGTTTTGCATCCATGCCTTCTTGATTCTTCTCATGTAGTTTTACTAGTTTCCTGCTGATATTAAGATGTTTTTTTACATTGTTATTTATTCTACCTTTTGCGAGTAAGGCGTTGTGGAGGTTACGTCGTGATTTATTGCCCTTCGTGTTTCTCCTTTTCCTCAATTCCCGAACCTTTCCTGGATTCCAATTTGCGCATTTTCCAAACCCTCAAGTCGTCTTTTCGCATTGGGTGATGTGATACAGTGTTTCTGTAATGCTCGTTTTTTTGTTTGGCGTAGTCTTCTGTATTATGCTTGACATGACGTCTGCAAATTTATCTGCGTCATTTGGGAGGACCCGCAACGATCTGGAAATCGCCTTCCGTTTTGCATCAGCCGACGTAAATCAATTGGAGGTGGTAGGTGTTATAGTTGAGGGCGTATTAGTGGAGTTTTTCTTTTGTTTCTTTAGCGCATACATCTCCCTACGTTTTTCATTCATTCTTCTTTTTTGTGGGTTCATCCTATCCCTTTGTGTTATTTTATCAATTTTCCATTTCTCTCTGCGTTTCCGCTGCCTTTCTTGTAAGTTGCTTTCTGTTCCCATTGAATCCTTCCTCTCTCTTTCTCTGTCGGTACCGTTGGTTTCTTAGTCGCGCCTTCTCATTATATCTGGACCGTTGCTCCGTGGTCAGCGATGCTCGAATTGCTTTTATTCTGAGTGATTCGTACGCCTTTATGCTGTTGTATAGATCTGTGTCCGCTTTTACCCGACCACGATACTCCTTCTGGTATTGTGCGTTGTTTTTTTTTGCCTTTCCTTTATGAACATCTTGTTGAACCTAATAAAATATAAAATTGGTTCAATTGCAGAAATATGTTAATGTTCCACATTGAAGCCAATAATCTTGTCGTAATGTAATATAACATTGTAATTTTTAAGATAATGATATAAAGAGCCTATAACCCAAATTGACCGGTTTCTAAATCAAAATGAGACTATTGTAATTACAGAAAACGTTGTTATATATCCAACGTACAGACACCCAAAACATTTCAGTGTCCCAGATATGTACATAAGAAAACCATATTAAATCATATTAATGCACACCATTTTCTGTGATCTACACTTTATTGGTAATATTACAATGGTAAACATAAATAATAAGTATATATGAAATTTGAACACTTTCCTATGTGTCTGAAAGTGTTACGCTCTTACATAAGTAAAATTACACCACACATTGAATTGACATTATTATTTTAAGCATACAAAATCTAAGTAACTATAATAATATTGTCTTATAATTCTTTTACATTGATTCTAAAAAGGTAATAAATTTTTCAATAAAACAAAAATCTTATGTTCAAAGGAAGACACCATTTAGTGGACACTTCATCGTGTCTTGCATTACAAACATAAGTGATTGTTATTAAATAGTATTTTGATGATATATTTGTTTACTACTTGTCCTTCATCGAGTTCAAAGTGTCATATTGCTGAGGTATACAATTATAAATAAATGAAATAGAATGGAATTTTACTAGTTCCTAATATTTCTTATGTTCGTTATAAAGAAGCCGAATGTTGGTGTCTTCAATACGTACATAAGCAGTGCACATTCGCACTAATTTGGGTAATTTAGCCTGATCGTCATCATGTTCATTTGCACTAAATTTATATTATCAAGTGGAAAACCAACATTTGTTAGTGGACATTGGTATAAAACATAATTAAAGTTAATTTTACTTTCGTTCGTATCGCGGACACTGAAAATCACGATTAGTATCGTGTCTAAAATACGAACATAAACTGTATGTATTCTATTCATATCCGACGTAATCAAACACAATATAGTTGCTGACGAAAGTAATTTATTAAATAGGTTCTGAAAATTAATTTGCAAACGTGTCTAAACATTTTTTTTACAACAAAATGCAGTTTACAAACCTAAGTACACTCGTCGGACACCAAAACGTTAGATCGACAACATGTAAACAAACATTACGAACAGCGCACTGGTGCCTGTCCGCCGTAAGGTTATGCCGTACAATGACTCGTTGAGTATTCATTTACGATGCAAACTACCCTACATTTCAAATAATGTTAGATATATCACTTAAAAACTGATAAAAGGCACAAACTTACCTCCGTCTTACGTTCGTCCCGTTTTCGGAGACGACAGGAAACTTCACGCTCCATTGCCGCTGTTTCGATTTCTGTCGGTGTGACCTCATTTTCACTTCACCTTTTAGAGGGTCACGTGACAGTCATGTGACAACCATACAAAGCTATTTGAAGCCGTTTCGTAAAACCGATGTTTACGATGTTACGTTTTATGTACGTATCGTACCGGACACTAAATGTGTAGATGATAATGAAGTGTTGATCAATCTGGTTGCACCTATCATTTTTGACTAAATCACTCTACATTACTAAATATACGTAATAGTTAACGTACACACTCAAATGTATGGAAGTGTCTACCCATTTGAACAAAATAGAAAACACATAAAACACGCTGTCTGGAAGGACACGACGCGATACGTACGTAAGTTAGATTTACAATTTTATATTACTCATTAAAACAAAAAATAATTCTCAATAAGTTTTCATAATATATGTTTATATACAGCTTTTCAGAGAAAAAAACCCCACTTTGAACTGTATAAAAAGATATGTACTTTGAAAAAAACACTGTTTATCATCTTATCATAAAATGTCACACTTTTGCATTAAAAATACACATTTTTTTCCATCATAAAATTTTCTAGAAAAATATTTCTGATACACTGCTCAACATTATTATCTTATTTATTTCTTTGAAACATGCTTAATTAAATAAAATCAACCAACCATTTCAAACATTTTTATTTTATTAGAAATTTGCAATTTATGTCAAATATCCACATTTGTCCCAGTATTGAAGACAAGCTTATATAACAAAAGGTGGACATTGATATCGTTAACAGTCATCTCGGACATCTGTTGCTGTACTGTGCGATTACACCCAAATGAAAACAAGGGAGTAGGCCCTATTCAAAACATTTGTTCCTAAATGTACTGTTAACAGTTAAGAAATAAAAAGTCTAAAACATTAGTCATATTAATTATATTAAATTATTCCTTTAATGCACTCATCCAAGTTCTGCAAATGATGTGAATAGCAGCTTACATAAAGGCATAACATAGACATTTATCCCACCCTTTTGTCCTCTTTTTAAGGACAAAGCATTAATTCTGTGTTGATAACAAATCATCAGTACATTATTAACCCATGCCCCATTCCGAAAATTATAAAGTATTACCCTTCCTCCATTCTTAATATCTAAGAGTGACAAGATCTGATGTGCAGCAGGCCTAGTTTACAAGTTTCTTCCATCTGCGACAGGGACTTGCGAACTTACAACATTTCACGGTATGCCAGAGGTTCGCATCCTGTTCTGCAAATCACTGCTTGAGTGGAGATAGCAAATCTAAAAGCCAGATCTTTAAGACCAAAATCGTGTCGCAGTCTCATCAATGTTAACAACAGTTTATCCTCGCACTCCATGTTAACTATGTCTTTCCTGTTGTTATGGTGTAGTGAGAAAGTCAAGTAGGGCCTGGAATGTTGAGAATTCGAATCCTGTATAATTTTCAAATAATACTTGAATCTGTGATTCCTCCTTCAAAATCTCCTGAACAGTCAGTAGTTTGGGTTTGTCATCACTTACAGGATTTCCCAATGTAGCTTCATGTTGTTCATACCACACTCTGTATTCATTGAATAAGACTTCAGACTGATGAACTTGTTGTTGTAGCCTCTTGATTTTAGCCGCTGCTGATAGCAGTTCCAAAAATGTTCCTGAAAAAAAGTTCTATAAATAAATCAAATTCAGCTGATTTTATTTTATTTTCAGTCTCAGAAGAATGACATTGCTTTTAACAATGGCAATGTCATGTCTTGCTGAGAAAGGATTTATACCAACCATTAAAAGTTAGGTTGCCACCTCATCAAGATTTGGTTGAAATGTCAAAGGTTGTAATGTTGGAAAAGGCAACACGGTCCCAAAGTACAGACTCGGAGAGAAAAGACTTACAGCATCTCAGATGTTCAAAGTTGTAAACAGAAAGATTTTCTTCTGTAGCAACAGATTATGGTATTAGTAGGGGGAAAATTGCCAGAGAAAAATATGTCAGTCAAAAGTCTGTCTAAAACATACATGTCCATGATTGTGGGTTAGTGATAAACAATGAATTTTCCCATCTAGCCGCCACACCTGATGGTAAAGTATGTGACAAAGGGGAGACTGGTATTGTGGAAATAAAATGTCCCTTTGTAGCGAGGCATATGAGTAATACTGAAGCTTGCAATGTGATCCAGAATTTTGTACCTAGTTATGAAAACAATGTTGTAAAAATGAACAGAAAACACAACTACTATGTTCAAATACAGGGACAACTGCTTAACTGCTAGTCACAGGTGCTCCATGGTGTGACCTTGTTGTGTTCACAACAAAAGAACTTTTTGTTGAGAGAATTTATCCTGATATTCCATTCATGACCAAAATATTACTTCAGCTGTCATTTTTCTACAAGTATCATGCTTTTACCATACCTCAAAAGATAAGGTATACCATATATAGCTTTACCTAAATCACACCAACTGAGCAAACCCAATAATAATGTACACACATACATTGATATTGCCACAATTTCACATTAGAACATGAAGCCTTTAAAATACATTGGTTTGCAATTCCTAGTCTCTAAAAATTGTAATAATTGATAATAGTTATACATGTATACAGTGAAACCTGTCTAACCTGACATTCACTGGGGCATAACATACTGGTAAGATTACAGAAAAATAGTTTGTCAACAGTCTAAATACACAGGTCATATACTATTATTTTCATAACACATGGGATTACAGCATTATGTGTAAAGTGTCTGAATAATCAGGGGTCGGACGAGACAGGCTTCACTGTATTTTGTTCCAGTTAAAACTGGTATTAAATATTTAATGAAAACCAATACAATTGAAATTGTACACAACAATACCATAAGTGTTCTAGGACTATATACATATGGAGATTACATGCCAAATGAGTTTGATGTATAGTGCATAGTTCAGTTTCTGGTTTTATAGATAAAATGATATTTGGGTATCTTTTCATTTTCAAAATTTATCTCAGCTTTATACTAAAGCATATCTATACCTTGGACATCAGTTTGTACAAGATCATGTTCTTGCTGTGGTGCTGCTACATGGCCAGTACTGTTTGGAGTGTTAACTGGGACTGAAGTGGGCTGGGGATCCTCCATATCATTGCTCAGTTCAGTGCTGTGTCTTGACAATAAAGAAATGAAGATTTATTTTATTATGGGTTTTCAAGACTTAACAATTTAGGTGTAACCATAATTATTTACAATGTGATCTCAATGTATTCCTCTTTTGATATATCACAACATTAAGACATGGAGAATGGGTTGAAAAAACCACCAAAGACTCATTGGTTAGAAACAAGAAAGGGATATATCTTTCAATAAAATCAATCACTTACAGTATAACTACATGCCCTGGATTAATTTATATAAAAAGCTTAGTTTAGAATGTCTATTTCAATTTGTATGAATGCATACTTGACATTTTGGGAATAACAATTTGTTTATCAAAATGTTTAAACACCAAGGTATAAAGAAGTTAACTGATTATAGCTTATCTGATTCACTGCAACATCATACCTATCAGGACAATACTTTCTACTTGGAAAATCTATAGCACTGAAAAACTGATCATAATTACAAATGTACAAATATACTGATACATAAAATACTATTATGGTCAAAATTGAAATGTTCATTATAAAAGCAGATTCCTTAGCAGTTTTCTTGGTCAAATTAACTCACCCAACAGATTGCCTGAGTCTCCAATGAAGGCGGCACTTTTTATTTCTCCTCCATTAGCTGGCAAAGGATCGGGGTATTCTTCTGATGGTCCCAACTCACGCATAAAATGCTGAAACAAACCAGAAGTACATATGACTTGTAAAATCAGAATGAAAAGGGAGGTGCTTTATAAACATAACAAAATTAGATATATCATGAACAGTTTCATGACAAATTAATAGTTTCTTCTTTGGATTGTTACATATTTTTCATGGATTTTTTTTTATGTCACTTGAAACCATTATATCAGTAACATAACATAATATTTTAGATAACAACCCTACCGTCTGTGTATTTTTCTTTATCAAGAGTACTGTCAGTACAGTACTGTACTGACTGAGTAATATTGTGCATACATGTATATGTAACACGAACCTTCTGTGATTTTTCTAAAAACAACATCGAGATCGCATGATTGATTGCTCCCTGTACATGTCGTGTAACGGTAAACAGTAAACAAGTATCTTCTACTTTCATTTTGTTGACATAGGGGCATGTAATACAGCTGTAATGTAAACAACTAATGGGTCAACAAAATGTTGGTTTTATTAAGATTAAAGATAATAATTGATATGTGTTTGCTGCTTGCACACCCGCAACTCTTTATATGCGTATGAATTAAACCAGCAGAACACAAGACATCAAAATAAGAAATGATGATTCCGCTGTGCATGCCCCTGTGTTGGACCGACAGCTCTTATGTTTACACAGTGTCATAACAAGTTTTGCTCGAGACATATTAAAAACATATGAATGGAATTGAGGATTATGTGAGTATTGCCTGTTTGGTCAACCATATACTCTGCTTTACTACATTATATTTTCTAATATCGAGACATAAACATACCTTTGAACAAACGAACTTGTGTCTATCTATATTTGTTGCGTTAAGCTGCGAATTGGGTCGTCCACAAACCTTCACCCATCTCAGGCATGTTTCTAGGTTGGTTTTAGGGTTTTGGAAAGGGAATAAATGTCACACCGTTCTCCAATCTTTCTGGATATCGGCTGTCGCTGTTGCAGGTTCCCTAGGAGCACTTCTTCACCATTATTTCAGAGCCGTTCGTATTTACCCTCGTGTCAATGTCCGACAAAGTTGTCGGATGTAATGGCCGACAATCGAACACGCGCTCTGATTGGCTGAATTTGTATAGCAACCACGTTGCTAACAACGATGTGTTTGCAAGGCAATGGTCAAAACTATTGAGTAGGAAATAGAGTTTATTGTTTGAGTCAAGCTTGTTATGTTCTCAATAAACATTTTAGTTACCGTATCCGCCGCTTTTCAAAGAAAATCGAAGAATATTAATTTGGGCCCGTTCGTCTGTCACGTTTCAGTTTTCGTACAATAACTACGGTAATAATGGTCAACAAAATGTGGTGTGCACATACATATTTACTTGTTCAAGACCAAGTTTGCTCGTCAATGTGATCCTTGCATATTTTTGGATAATCAATTAAGCCAAAGTCACACTGTCAATGTAAAGGCCAAGGTATATCCCGGATAACCCGGGTTCTATAAACCGTTGCAAACCGTTGCCATATCTCAAAAAAACAACTCCAGAAGACAGTAATGCCCCGGTCACACATTCACGGATCGAACGCCGGATTAGCCACGAATACGATCCGGTATCATTCGTGGCAATCTGTAGTGGTCACACAAATTGTCCCCTATTGAGATATTAAACCACATAGAACTTCATATAAGTTCACTTTAATATCATTATGTCAAGCCAACCAGTTCAGATCATGTTCATTAGCCAGGGCACGTCTGCTGCCGGAGAGTTGTATTAGGCACTTAGATGCAGCCTTTGGGTTTAAGCTGCTCTCGTTAGTTCCACGTACTAACATATTAGCACAAACGTCAAGGAAGGTCTGTTCATGTCTCAAGACTCCCCGGCCATTTTGTGTTTTAATTGGCAGTACCAACAGTATCGTTACGTCATCAATACAGCCTGTAGTTACTGTCATGTAACAGCAGCCTGGCTCTCCATAGAGTTAATCAAAAATGGTAAGGGCATATGTAAATATGAAATCGTAGTACCGAGTTAAATCACAGTGTATCGTACAAGAGTCGGCGTTGATCGTAATACCACCGTAGTACTGCCGTTAGGCCCCGCCCCCTAGTGCTGCCGTGGGTTACCGTGACTCCAGAACTACAGTCACTTACGGTTGGCCACGGGCGCTTGCACGGCCGTTCTACGGCATGGCCGGTGGTACTTCGTTGACACCAAGGTTTTCAAAATACCGAGCTATGGACGACCCCGGATGTTTTAAACAGTTTAAAACTACCGAAGCGAACTACGGATCATCACGGATTACTCCCGGCTTCAATACGGACTTGCTACGGATACCCAAGGTTGTCCCCTGTTTGCACCAACGTAGCTCACCGGGCCTATATACCGGCACAGTGTCACTGGGGCTTTACACTTGTACAATCTAATAGGGGAACTGGTTTCAGTGTAATAACTATGCTAAATGATTGCCCTTTTTCAACAAATTTTGGTGTGCCTATACATATTAACATGTTGACGGCTCCATTATCTCGTTGATGTAATCTGTGGAAATTCACGCATAATTAAAAATATTCATTAATTAGTTAATTAATGATTAGTAAAGGTATTCAAAAGCCCAATCTAATTAAAATTATATCTTCACATCGCTCCCGTTTACTGATATGTCGCGTAAACGGGAGCGATGTGAAGATATAATTTTAATTAGATTGTCAAAAACCCTAACAATTAATAGTAATCTTGTCTTGTAGTCAGTGAATGCGAAATATTATAATACATCTCATTTTTAAGATGTCCAGCATATACATCTTGCTGAGGATATGATTGTTTATAATGATTGGAATATGAGCAAGGGAAGCAACTTCTTTCTCGACTTATGATCAAATGGAGATTATACGATGAAAAGTTTCCAAAGTAGCATGGGTGACCAATGGAATTTGGCTTATACTTAAACCCCTTAAAACTATGCTAACTTCTACTTAAACCCATTAAAACTCGTCCTAGATATCCAGGGGTTACGCTCACTTTCGCTCTTAAAGTGAGCGTAACCCCTGGATATCGAGGATGATTAAAACTATTATCCGCTGTTTTATTTCATACCATAGCTAATCCTGACTCACAAGCCATTTGTAAACAACCTGAAGGCCTATTTCTAAGAAACATTTTCTGTTTTGTCTGCTGTTAATATTCAATACTAAAATATCATGATTCGAGTAACTATCAACAATAACACTCATCTAAAATATGTCGGAGGATAAGAATTCCAGGATTTTGTTTTTTTAGTCGAACTTAAATCCATGTGTTTATACATAGTGGATCATATTATGATAGAGTTTGTTGATAACGATGTCTGCTTTGCTCCCAGTACACATACAATGTACTGACCACCCTAACGTAAGGAATTTTGCCGTTCAGCAGATAAAACATTCGATATACATGTACTTATACACATACTAAAACAAACAACAATCACAGGTTTGAATCCTTAATCGTATAGATTTGGAAATTTTCAATCGGTCTTAGTATATCAATTAAAAGGGACAGTCACGGTATCTTAAGAGCCTGTGATTGTTTACTGATATACTTGTAAACAACTGTACCTGGTGGACAGACAAGTTAGCGGGGTTATTTGCCTTCAAACCAGGTGACCTCGATCAGGTACAGCCCATCAGATTACAATGTGACCACGGTTCACTACTTGTGCACTACAAACTGGATACCAAGAAAAATTCACAGGTGAAACTCGGGACCAATCAAATACATATCATACACTTTACAAATAATGCTATTTCACATTTACTCAAGCCAAACATGTCTTAAAGGAGAACACTCCAGGTTCGCGAAATAGTGCCGCAGTTAAACTGTTTATCACTAATATAGCCGATGCAGTACATTCCTTTAAACCGCAAGTTTATGCCAGCACCGGAATAAACAAATAATTTCGAGGCTTATTCCTCCAAGATTAAGTGATAAATGATGACTTGTAATTCAAAAGAAGTTATTTGAAATCCAGCATCTCTTCCAAACGATGGTTATACACAATGTTTGTGTATAAAGTAAAACTTTGATCGTATTGAAGATGTAAAAATCGTTTCATTTGTTTTATTAGCAAAACGAACGACGGAAAATATAAAGATTGCATCTGTATTGAAGAACATTTATTACACATTTAATATGACAAACTACAATCACTACAATTATCTTTTAATAAGCCGACAGATAATATTGACTGGAAATTTCGATTATAATTTATTTTTTATTGCACTGCGTAAAAGTAAATATTTATTATATCGAGAGAGATGGGCCAATTACAATATGGAAATAATCTGACATGCCCTTAAAACACTTTATATAAATCTGAATCTCATTCTAATATAATAGATTCTAATATAACGAAAATGCAGTAGATGATAACAAATGATTTATGAGAAACAATTCATAAATTGTTTGTACTTA